GGGTGTGGTGTGTTGGGTGGGGGGGGGGGGGGGGGGGTTGGATTTGAGCTAAATTCACTTGTAACTAACAGGTTTTTTTGTCTAGTTTTAAATGAAAACTCATAAAATCAGACCATCTCACTCGGATGGATATAGCAGATCTTTAACTTAAATTGTGCTGAAAAATATGTGGAGGCTTTTAAGTTTTTGTTGCCAGTGTTTTGCCCAGTTGATGACTTAATGAACGGTTACAGGTTTTTTTCTATTGAATGTTGAAATGAACATCGCCCTGAAGTATTTTGGATTCAGATATGACAACAAAATGCTACTTTATGAGCTGGGATCTGGGTTTTCCATTCACCGTGAAAAAAGGCAGTAAAACCTGGATTTTCTCCTTTTGAGGAGAGAAATGTGGGAAATAGTGGGGTTTCCCCTTGCAGGCTGGCAGAGTTCCAGCCTGCAAAGGGCTGCGGAGAGCAGGAGGATGGTGGTCAGGCAGGGGGCTCCATGTGCTCACATACACATGCACGTAGCCACAGGCAGCCTGGAGAGCAGCTCCTGCAGGTAAATCTGGGAGGGGGGAGGATTGAGGCCCCCATAGTGTGGGAAGGAGGGAATTGGGCAGGGCTGGGGCTGGGGGTGCTGCCCAACCCGGGCAGTGCATGGGGTCCAGGGCTGGAAAGCACAGCTGCAGGGCCTGGGCAGGGAGCAGGATGGAGCTGCAGGCGGCTCATCTGGGGGGCAGAGGGGTGGGGGCTGGCTCCCCACTGCTGCATGCACTCCTGGAGGAAGCATGGGGGACACATGCCCCCCCAAATTTATGTGCAGTGTGGGGGGCAGATGTGGGCTGCCAGCTTTGGCCTCAGGCTCCCCCCACCTTCCCTCCAGGGCCCAACGGGCAGGACCAGGTGCAGCAGGGTAGAGCAGGGCGTGGAAGATCAGATCTGCTTTCGCAACCCCAACACCACTATAGCGAGGTGCCCCCTGCCCACCTGGCAGCAGCGGGGGCAGCAGTGCAGAGTTGTGCCCCTCACTGTTGCTGGACAAGGGATGCCTCACCATAGAGGCATGGGGCTCCTGGCGGTGGCACCAAGCTTCCTCATCTGACCCTGCTCTACCCTGCCATGCTAGGTCTCATCCACTGGGCCAGGAGGCCCTGGGCAGAGGGCAGCAGGGCAGGGAGTCCCGTGCCTGCAGTGGGCAGCCTGCATCTGCCCTCCCCCCACCCGATGGGCTCTGCAGCAGCAGCTGCCTGTCAGGGCAGCAGCTGGGGCTTGGGCGCTGCTGTGGACCCAGGTCCCTGGCCCCTGTAGCCCTGGCAGCTAGGGGTCCCCTTCACCTGGCCTGGAGGGGAAGGGGGACTGTGGGTGGGGAGTGAGGGGCAATGTCATGGGCAGGGCACCAGCATGGGGGAGCTGCAGCTGGGCCCGCATCCTGGTGAGCAAAGGGGGCAGAGGGTGCTCTGATTTTCCATGATTAAAAAAAAAAGCATAATCAAACACCAAAATGTATAGGTATTTACAATTTACTTTATTATAGTGATTGAGGCACTGGTAGGCTTCCAAATTGCTTTAAAATTGTAAATATATCAATAAAACGTTGTGTTAAGCTGAAACGTATATATAGTAGTATTTCATTTTAATCACGGAAACACATGGTTTTTGAGGGTTTAACCAGAGAATGTGCAATTTTTAAACAGAAAACCAGGTTTTGTGTTTATGAGCACTAGACAGTGAAACTGCCATTTGACTGTCACTAGTTAAGCTGAGGGAGGTGCAGAGAAAAAAAAGCATTATATGTTGAAAAATTAGCATCTTAAAAGATCAGGTGTGAAAGTAACCCCATGTAAGGAACTGTGAAATCACATTTCTGGCTTTAAGTGGCCGCTACCCTGTGAATGTTGTCAGGTTTCTGACTCGTTCTGTTCTTGATCATCCCTTGAGCACAAATAAGTGGGGGTAGCCCTTTTCTCTTGCCACACAGCCTGTTTCAGAGGATAATGAAACCTGTATTTGTATCAGAGAGAAACATGCTTGGGAAGTTGCACTGACAGTAATTTTCTCCACCTCTGTAATTTTTCTATTAATTTTTTATGGCACTTTATCCCTGGTGCCTTTAGGAATGTACATTCCTGTTGTCCAGACCAGTAAAGCGCTGCGTGAGTACAGTGCTGTACTAAGTACTTTGAGTGTGGGTCTCCCACTTGTGGGTATATTTAGAAGTCCTAATCACTGCTTCTACTGCTGCTGCTGTCAGCAGGAGTTGTAATTTGTAGATTTTGTTTGGTATCCCACCAGGCTTCTGGTTGCTTAGTCATGACTTATTCCATATTAAATAGCGGAAGTAAAGAATTCTGCATAGGAGAATCATAGGGTTGGTATGGACCTCAAGGATCATCTAGCCCAGCTCCCTGCAGAGAAGCACAACCCTCCCTGACAGATTCCTATCCATGTGGATTAATAGACAAGAGCAGTTCTATTCCTAACAAGGTCTTGTCATGAGAAGAGAGAAACTCTCCTTGTTCTACATACATAGGGGAACAGCAGGTGTTTGACATTCTGTGTGTTAGCCTCACACACGCTGGCTTTGCTGTGAGCTCTGGAAACTGTAAGGGGTTCTTTGGAAACCCTCCAAAGAATGAAATACCTTCCCCATTTTGAAACTGGAGCAGTATTTAGGGAACATGGAAGTGCTGCAAGTGTTGTACAGAAATACTCTTTCTACGAGTGCTGTAGGCTTTTTTAAGGCAACTTGCTGAGTGTACTTTTAGTTTTCCACTGGGCTAAAAAAAATGATTTGAGGGACAGTTGAATCATTTTATAGAATTCCTGATGTTGAACTGAGTGCAGTGGTGGCTGTCATTGCTGACCATGAGCATGATACATATTATCACCCTCATCTTTTGAGATGTTTTTGGCTCCCTTCCCCACACCCCCATTAGGAATGTTGGCTAAGTCTTAATTTGGTTGAATACAAATTGACAGCTAGCCAAAAGCTATCCTAGATACACTTTCCTAACACTTAGCCACATTTTTTAAATATTTTTGAATTTTATATAGCGCTTATCCCACTCAGTAACTTCTAATCATTCCTTTTCTCTGCCAGGTGCATCAACCTGCGCACCTCTGGTGGGATTTGGCACATCTGAGAATTCAACCCTTTGTTATGATCTATGCAACACAACACAACTCTTGGTTTTATCCTTTAGAAAGAACCAGGGGTATAACTAGGGAACAACTAAAGCAAACAGAAGGAAATAATTGTCACTCTGGGACTGTTGTTTTCTTCTTAATTTAACTTTTTTAAGAGTAAGTGAAAATATATGCTATCGGTTTTGAAAGGTGATGCACAGCTCCACCACTTGTTGTAAGCAACAATTGTGATTTTTGCTGCATGGGTAAGAAGTAGCACAAGTCTATAGTTGGAGCTGCAGTGCATTAACCTCCTATCCAAGAACCTTTAAACAACATTGACTCATATTTGTTTTACCAGTGAATCATGAGAATAGTTTGGTCACACAAATTAGCCCAAACAGCATGCTTCCTGCCTGGGCTATGAACAATCAGCAGTGGCAGGAAGCTGCCCTGCACCAGCTTTTGAAAAAAAATATAGCTTGTTTGAAAACAGCATATAAGCAAGCCAGATGCAACACTGAGTAAGTCTTACACATCAGGTTTTGTAAGTGTTCTTGCCAAGCTGGTAGGAGCAGGGCGTGTTACAGAAGCTCTTGGTCTAATTTTGTCTCTTAGGAAACAAAGCTTGAATTTCTCAATTGACAGAGACCATGTTTTGTTTTTAAATATCTTTTAATCTGTGTTTTTTAGGAGGGCCAAACATGTGGGCTATCACGTCTGAAGAGCGGGCGAAGCATGACAAGCAGTTTGATGGCCTTAAACCCACAGGAGGATACATTACAGGTTGGTTTGTGTTGTATAGTAAACCTTGTGTACCTGCAGTACCTTTATAAAACAATTTAGAAGCTTTCATTTTCACCCAGTTCTTCATTATATGACTAATAACTATGCACAAAGCACTGATGGGGGTTATAAAACTGTTCTACAAGGTTTGGTCTACAGTCTGGCATAGAAAGTCTGCAAAAGGGTTTATTAAAGTCTTCACTTGGAGAGTCAACCATCTTGTGCTGTCATCCCATCCAGTCATAGACTAAGTAGGACAATCAGTGCTCATGTGAGTGTCTGTGAAAGAGTGCTTATTGTTGTTGCTGTATCAAATGACTGGTGATTCAGGAAGTGGCACTCTTCTTTCCCTGTTAGAGGGCTCTGTGCTTTTGGAGTTTTTATTCTTTGGTATGAGAGGCAAAAATAAAGGGCCTGACACTTGGTGTTTCTTCAGGAGCTTATGGAATTTATCACAAGCAAGGGAATATTAAGCTTTTCACCTTCCACAAATTTCAGCGTGTGTAATTGTATTTTGCCTAGGTGTAGCCTTCTGACCGTTTCATTTGCGTTCAGTATTTTGCTTCTCCAAAACTGCTGAATCATTTTGCCTAGCACTGTCTCTTCCACCTGAGAAAAGGCTGGAATTCAGGGGTGAAGGATTACTTACCTGGCTATAAAGTGCTTTACAATGCTATGTGAATGTAAGATGATTTTCTGCATAAATGCAAGTTCTACCTTGAAAACTCAGTAGTGTGCAGGTGCAAAAACTTCTATTGCACTGTCCACATCCCATATTTACTTGCATTTACGTATCGCACACACCCTTTCTCCAAAAATTGGCCATCCAAACTTGGGGTGCATATTTTAAGTGGGGAAACTGATTTCCAGGCTGGAATGGAGGCATGATTGGACTAGTGGTGGGGGGCTGTGCTGCTTTCCTAGGTTTATGCAGGAAGGGGGGTGAAGTCCAGTTTTCAGTGTTGCTCACCCTCTCCTTACTGCTCCAAAGCTAGAGGTTTAACCCTGTCACAGCCCCTTCTGAATTGGTAGCAGCTTGTGCCCAAGCAGTTGTGCTGAAGTTAAACCTTTACCTTTGGAGCTGTAGAGGGTCAGTGATACTGAGAACTGAACTTCACTCTTCCTGCATGCACCTGGGAGTGTTCAAGCATGGTGATCTGGTGCTGTAACAGGGAAGACTGGAAAGATCTTTTTTCTTCATTCTGTCTTCCCAAAATAGTATTGTCTTATTTGGGGCTGTGTGGTGCTTGAGGAAAATATGGTGCTTAATAATGTGATCCATGTTTCATTGCTGTGAAACTTGGTATGGAGTTACACAGCACATCATGCCCCATCCCTGCAATACTGAATGATAAGTGTTTACTTGTTGGAAATGTGTTCTTTGCATACAGAATAATGTATTTTATAAAGCTTTCTTTTCTAGTTGAAAGAGCCTGTACTGGATTGAATTAGAATCAGTTAACAGCAGGAAAAAAACCCTACTCTTCTTTCTTCCTCAGAAGTCAGTGGGGCCAACACTGAACACTCAGTTCTTTAAATTTTACCTTTGTTTCCTTAAATCTAAAATTATAGTGTACAAAGCTCTTGGTTCCTGTGGATTTGTGATGTATTAAACAAAGCTTTTTTTATAGTTAATTTAATCCACTTCCTGAAGCTAGGAGTCGGGACTACAAAATACATTAGCACTTGCCAACTAGCATCACCAAGGAGTTGTGGTGCAGAATTTTCGAGAGCTTAACACCCAACATTTTGAGATCTTTTGGAAATCTGGTCCTAAGTGGGAGCGCTGAGCTGTTCTGAAAGCGCTGACCTTGATAAATATCCGCTGCTTTTATTTTAAAGTTCATATGAGACCTTAGTTTTTCTCTTCTTTTCTCTCTTTTTGGTCATAGGTGAACAAGCACGCACCTTTTTCTTACAGTCAGGTCTACCAGCTTCTGTCCTGGCTGAAATATGGTAAGATTGTTTGTTTTTTTATTTAAAGGTTTAAGATGTTTGGCTCATGTACCGACGTTGGTTTGTTATTTACTAAAAACTCCATTTTCCCACTATTTATCGTGGTCAAACAAAAATTTTGGGGGAACCCGTTCATTTCTTGTTTATTTTCCTATTAGCTAAGGTTTGATCTCTTTTACAATACCAAAAGAAATTCTATGAGAAACAAAATGATAATGAAATTTGAATAATAAACAGTAAATTACATAAAAACTGGAGACAGACAACCCAGATTGTTTTTCTGACAGAATCAGTGGATTAAAGGAACTCAGTAGATGTATTTCTTCAGGCCCTGATCCCACCATTTGACTCAACAGGACTGTTTGTGTGCAAAGGTCTGCATGAGCCACACTTACTTTTGAATCAAGGATTTAATAAAATTAATTTAAAGTGGTTAATTTTAAATTATGCTCCAGGGATTAAAAACTGATTCAAATATCACAAACAAAAGGTAAGAATAAACTGGAGGTAACCACTGTGTGGGGCGGGAATGGTGGACTGGCCCAAATAGCATTGTTAGACCTCATGTAAGGATCAGCTAATAGAAATATGCTGGTCAAATGTAGGTAAAAACAACTGAATTCCTTCTCCCCTACCGTCCCCAACCCAAAATATAGTATTAAACATCAAATGCAAGAGAGATCTACACATGAAGGAGTGTGACAGGTCTTTTCTTTGCAATTGCTGAGTCCATTCCAGGGTGTCATGTTCAGTGTTGGGTACTTTTTGTCAGAAATATAGACGGATTAAAAAGCTCAGAGGAAAGACCTATAAGTATGTAAGAAATTGGAGGACCTGACTTGTGAGGAAGCGTTAGGGCAGGTTTTTATATCTTGATTAAACGTATCTTATTCTTCATGTTTACACTCTTCAAATATTTGTAAATGATGAATGGGGAGGAATCGTATCATATGCTGTACAGTGCACGGTAAATGGGAACTATAGCATAAACAGAGTGAAGGAAAATCCAGGCTAAACACCAGGAAGATGTTGACAATAAAATATATTGCTTTATGGAGTTGTCTTCTGAGACGATTGACGTTTCTGGGAATATTTTATCTCAGCCTTCTCATTCCCTCTCATTATGTCTCAACCCTCTCATTATGTTGCAACCTTCTCGTTCTACCTCTTTCTCTTTTTTTTTTCTATTTTAAGGTTCCCATATGAGATCATTACTTGTTAAAGTGTACAACAGCTTGTCACAGCTTCTCTCTCTTGCTCACTGGTTTTGTTTTCAATTCTAATACTTGCACATCAGTAGCCCATTCTGTTTCAACACACACAAAATTGTATGGTGTTCAGGTTAGGGAAGTACCAAGAAAAATGGGTGAGAATATAAGCTTTAACGGTATATTTTTACATACTAATTAAATTTTAAATAGTGATGATTTTTTTATTAAGATCTGTAACTACATTTAATAGGTGTTATGTATAAGCATGTTGATCTCTTGCAATGCCAAATCTTCATTTAAATGATCAGTTTGGCTTGTGCTAAGGCAAAATTGATGCAGTAAGTGTTGCATCAGACTGGACCTGAAGGTGATGCTTTTCCAAATAGTCTTCTAGTTCCATGAGCACTGAATGTTTTAATGTGTAATAATTTTAGAAATTGAGTCATATCAGTAGGTGCCAGGTAGCTTTTATTACCATATCTAAAAAAAAACTATGGTCTGCAGTACAGCTTGACTTTCAAAGTGAATACTGTATCTTCTTGCATATAGCACATCCCCAAATATAATGTGTCTTGTTTGGAAAGGTAGAATGAAGAAAAAAAGATTTTTTCCCAACTTGTGCCTTCATAGAGCAGAGACAGAACCTAATCTTCAGCTGACTTGCTCTCCTTTTCCTGCTTAACTAAAGTTAAAACCCTGCATGCTACTGAAGACTGGTCTATATGGGTGGTCCTGTGATTTGTCAAGAGAGCTAAAGAATTGCCAAGCCTATGAAACAGAAGGAAAGAGAAACCAAGAGCAGCTCTCAGACAACTGAAAAAAGAGACAATAGTTGACACCTCTGGAGTGAAGAACAATGAGCCATTATGTCAATTGACTCCTTCAGCTGCCTAAATAGTAATGTTGCTGCACTGTGAGCAGAAATCAAAATAGGGTGCTTCCGTCCCAGTCAGAAAACCAGCTTCCCCTCTTAATATCCCAGTTTTGAAGGCCTGATTTTGGAGGTAAAAGTTTGTGTTGTATGCAAGAAAATGTGTTAGTTTGGCTGCTAGAAAAATTGGGATCTGTGACCTGAGGCTGTGTGTGTTGTGGAAGGTCATATCTAACTTTCTATAAAATCAATAGCAGGTTAAACTCCAAGGCTAAGTACAGACAATCATAAAGCCCCAGACTGAATTGATTCAGTCTTCTCAGGTTAGTCTAAGATGCATAGACTGAACCAATAAGCAAGTGAACAGACATTCTGGAAATGCAGCCACATGCCTGAAGTGGCCCAGGCCAGAGGTGCTAGAGCAAGTCTCCCTGCTGGCTGGAGCAGACAGCTTGGACCAAGGCTAACCTGCCCACCCTGGGAGGGGGTGGGTTTGCAGGGGAGGTGCAAAGCATCCTGGGATGCTGGGGGAACTGTGAGTTAACTTGAATCTGGAGGGGCTCTGGGACAGAAGTTTAGTAAGCTGATTTAACCTAAACCAGTTAAGTCTGATACTATATCCATCCAGGTTTATCTTAAACTGGTTTGGGCCATTTTGAAATCAGTTTATGTTTACTGAATTTCTGTTGTGTCACGGATTTGAACTGGTTTCCAATCACTTATAGCAGATTATGAGTAATTTCTGTCCCTAGTCCAAGTGTTAACTGCTTCTTTGTCAAAAAGATAGCTACTAAAAGAAGTTCAGACAAAAGACACTCATGTAAGGAAAGGATTAGGTGCGCCTTCCAGTATCTATTTTCTGTAATAGAATAACAAAACAATCAGTGAAATTATGGAAACACTACCTTTTAGTGAAAAAGTTTAAGCTGATGTTTCTTTCACTGTCTTTTTCAAGGGCTCTGTCAGATCTGAACAAGGATGGGAAGATGGATCAACAGGAATTCTCCATAGCCATGAAACTAATCAAACTAAAATTACAAGGACAGCACCTCCCAATGGTCCTCCCTCCTATCATGAAACAGCCTCCAGTAGTATTCTCTCCGTTAATTTCTGCTCGCTTTGGTACATATGAATATTTAATATGCTTACTAGTTTTAAGAGTAATTTGCCCAAATTGGCTTTTTTGACATAGACAAATGAGTAAATAGAGTTATTGTATTGTGGACCAATTGTTTAAAGCGCCAGCAATTGTATAGAGGATATTCTGATTCAAAGGCTTTTTGCAAAGATTTTTTTTCCCCAAAGTTTTGAAGCTTTGGATATTTTCGTTCATTGTGTTTTCATTAGATGCCTGCATTGTAGTGTTCATAAAGAAGCATCTTACTGAATTTTAAGTAAGAATGGTTTGTGAGACGCATGAAAACTCTTCACACCATTGGCATATAGTTTGTGGTCTGTTCTGTTGACTTGGAGATCTTATTCTTCTCTCTTCAGGACGCTAACCAAATGATAATTTTAAATGAGTAGAAAACTGCAGTACATAAAATCTCTCTTGAGAGAGTTAATTTGAAACATTTTGCAGGTCTCCAGACTGAAACCGGTAGTTAAAAAAAAAAAAAGCTGTCCAACTTCTAAGCAGCTGGGGGCCCCACACTGTATGAGCTAAACCAGCATGAGCCACTGGCACCCTGCGCTGAACATGCGGGCACTTTCTCTCTGCACCTTGCGCATGGCTTCACCTTCAGCTCTTTGGCTGCATGCTCCCTTGCTGCACCATGCCACATGGGCTCCCCAGGCTGCAGGCTCCCCCAGTGCTGCAGGCTGTGCTGTGCTCTGCCACACCACCCTCTGGGTTGGAGGCTGGAAGAAAAAGCCAGAATTAAGGGGAGCCCAGAAACCATGCAGCTGAGTCAGTGGGGGAAGTGATGTCTGGGAGTGAGCATGGGGACTGCAAATTAACTCTTGCAGGCCACCAGTTTGATAGCCCTGATTTAAGTTAATCATTTCTGTTGCTTGTTTTTTTTCCCTGTCTTTACTGTTAGGCATTCCATGTGCACGTGACCCAGTATTTCATGAGATGTTTATAAAATAGTATGTTAAATAACTTTGACTAGAGTGCATCTTGTACACACATTTGTATGCGTCTGTCACACGCGCGCGCGCACGCTTTTTCCACAAGAGATCTTAATTACTATATTTACTCGAGTATAAGACAAGTTGTGTCCCCCCCTGTAATCAGTATGGGGAAAAAAGCCCCAAACCCCATGTTTTTTATTCGCATATAAGAAAACCTCCTTCATTAAATACATTGCCTATCATTAAACTGTGCTCAGTAATGAAAAACAACTTTGAAGTTGATTGAATGCAGCCCAAATGGAGCATGTCTGTAAAACACTCCGTCAAAATCGAGCAAACATACTAATTGGAATTTACCTTTTCTTTTTTCTTTTTTAATAAATTTCTCGTTCCCAGCCAAATCAAGTCCAAATCCATGAGTCAGTCCAGAACAATAAGTCTCCCTACAACCGGCAAATATCCTCCACCCCTACCAGGGGCTTCAGATATTTACAGTGTCTTTTGGCAGTCATCCTACGTGGTCTAATAAAAGATATCACTTCTGCCAAGAGTTACAGTTCCTCTCATCTGCATGTACACTTTTGGACAGTCTTAGAACTCATGACAAGAACACATGGTACCAGTCATGAGTGGTGGGGTTCAGGATAAGCAATATTTAGTCTTGCAGAAGCTGTCATCTCTTTTATATATAAATTGTCATAACTTTAGTTCCATTATTTAATGTCCCTTAGAGGCTACACTTATGAAAAGCTTATGGAGAAATAGTTTTAAACTGGCTGTTGGTGGAAACCAGGTAGAAACATGTTTAAATCGTACTATTTATTTCATCATTTGTTCTTTCTTCTGCATTCCTGGCTAGGACATGCAAATTGTGTGTCCAAAATGAAGAGAGAAATTAGATTTTATAACTGAATATGTATGAATAGTTTAGACCAGGGGTGTCAAAGATATGGCACCATGTTGCATGGTCTGCAAGGCTGGTAAAAGGACTCAATAGGGGTGGAGACAGCAGGGACAGGACCTGCTGCTGAAATCTGGGGCATAGAGCTCTGTTCACGACACTTGTCTTTGACGGAGGGATATGGGGAAGCAATGGCTGTGTAAACCCCTATACTGTTTCTGTGCTACAAAATTAAATGTTGAATTATTTAAGTTAATTATTTAATTTGTGCTCTAGGAATGGGTAGTATGCCAAACTTGTCCATCCCAACATCTGTGCCTACAGTTGCACCTTTAGCTCCCATGTCATCCCTGGCCTCAGTGACTTCAGTTCCTCCTTTGGTTATCTCTGCTCCCCTGGTGCCTTCTGTCAGTACATCATCCTTGCCAAATGGTACATCTGGTCTCCTTCAGCCTTTATCTCTGCCTTTCTCTTCAAGTAAGTACAGTACAATGAGTTACTCTGTTTTGGACACATGAATCTAAGTCTTAGTTTAAATTATTTTTAGACTGGCAATAAGAGATCTTATCTGTATGCAGAAAGAATCTGTATTGTATGTAAATTTCTAGTTTATTCTATAAGGCCAGTTGTAACTGGTGTGGCCTGCTCAACTTCCTGTCCATACATTTGAACACACAAAGAAAGTCATGAGTTTGTTACTGAAATAATCTGTAATCACCTTCAGACTGTTGACAGTAGGGTATAATGCAGAGCACATGAATTTCAATATTCCTTTACAGCTAATATTTAGTTATTATTTATGTATTCTACTTCATTATTTACACCAATTATCACCTGGAAAAAATCGACATTGCTTAGCTGTCTTGCTGCTAGCAAAATCTAGGGCCTTCACTACAAAGTAGCCATTAGCTTGTATCCATGTTATTTTATTTTCTGTTTCAGCATTGCCTCATACTGGCTCCTTAAGTCCCATGACAGGAGGGTTTGGTGGTACTAACATTCAAAAGGCACAGTCTCTGATCGATTTAGGATCTAGCAGGTATGAAACTTAAGATTCCCAATTTGCTGTGTCCTAGACTTCAGCAACAAATGCAGTTTTGAAAAGTACAATGAATGCATCTTCTCAGCTTCAGAGAGCATATAAAAGTGTTGCATTTCTAAACATTGATAGAGTTTAAGGAGATACATTCAGAGTTTAAAGAAGATAGTGTTTGCATACACACAGTTAATAACATTGTCAACAAATGTCATAGGAGAGTTCTAAGTAGGACAAAGAACTCAAGCCAAAAAGAATGGGATGTACAGAAAATAAACAGGCAAAGCATACAAAGAGGTGATAGAAGCCACAGACCAAATAGTCTTCAGACAACACCTAACTTCTGAGCATGTGCCCTGAGAGAGTGATTTGAAATTATCTGTTTAAGCATTGAACATTTAGGTTTAGCCAGCAAGGAGCTCTCTACAGAGAATGGGGAGTAGTTCTTGCTTTCCTCCTAGCTCCAGTACTCTTGCTTTCTTGTTTGTCCAGTTCAACTGAATGCTCTCACTTACCTTATTCAATGCCCTACCAGCCATACTGATCTCCTGGGAAATGGAAGAGGGTGAAGGTTGGCTAGAAAGAGAAGCCCATATCCTGCACAAATACTTTAACTACTATACTTTTAGCCAAATGGTGGACAGTGGTTTTACCAATGGCAGTGGCATGGAGGTGAATTCAGTGGTTTTTTGGTACAAGTTGGTCATGGCTTTTTTCTGCATATTAACGTGGCCCTTTCTAGGGTTCTAAATTGTACTTAACTACCCCGGGCCCAGATATGAATCAGTCCAAAGGTTAGGGGAGAGTCAGTTGCCAAGGTGTGCGTTCTGGGTTGTATATGAGCAGATGCATGCTCTGAAGCATAGCTGCCCTGAGGTTCTTGCAGTTTTAAAGGGAGGCAAGTACTAGATATAGGCACTTATGCTACCTGTAGATATGCTCATTCATGTTCCAATTAGAACACATCAGAACACACTCGATTAATTGAGTCTGTGCCACGTTCTAATTAGAATGCTTCAGCATCGCCTCACTGTCACACGTATGAAGCCCTCCACGTTTTAAAATGGCTCTGGGGGCACTTTAACTAAACCTTGTTGAATGAGCTTTAGTTAAAGCGCCCCATGGCCATTTTAAAATGTGGGGGTTGGGAGGGGCCTTAATACACATGACTGTAAGCTGTTTTTATTAGAGCAGCTGTCCGGGAACCACTCTAATTAAAACAGCTCTCTCTACCTCTAAGCATGTGTATAGGCAGCCGTAAGTAGCATTTAGGGTGCAGCAAGCCAGTTTGAATAATTCTATAGAAATTACACATCAAACTCCTGTCTTAGTTCCATGTCATTGCAGCAGTGTGTTCATTCATGCCAATTAGATAGAAGTATGTTTGTAGAACTTGTCTAACTGAATAGCCATTGTAAATCTGTATCTAAGAGAATTTCACGAATAATGGAACTTAAGTAAGAATTGTGTATAAAGTGCATGTTGTAATTTTAGTTTCAGATGCATGGAAGGAAATACAATGTGGTCTAGGTAGTGGTAGATTGGTCTAGGTAGTGATATATGTAGTTCTATATAACCATTGAACAAAAATCCATACTGATGTGGGTATAAGAAAAACAAGCAGTCTGATGTGCTATTATAGGATGAAATGTGTTACTATACCAGTGTTAAAAACTAGCAAAGATACTAATTTGTGAACCTATTGATACCATAAGGTTTAAGCAAGCCAAGCAAGAATAACAATGAGTCCAAATGACTTCTGTGTTAGGGAGTAGAAAGCAAACATCCTTGGAGAATGTAAAGAAAACAGGAACTTTTCTGGTACTGCTGTGTTTTAGAAAGGTAGGCCATCCCTGGTTGAACAGTAACCAACTTGACTGGTTATGACCAGTTTCTAGAATGCATATTCCAGAGAACTAAATGACTGGAAATCTTGGGAGAAGAAGAAACTAAGTCCCCGTCTACAGAGTAAACTTACCATGATATTGGATGCATCTACATTAGATGCTAAAGGCACAGTAGACTAATTCTACTGTGCATTAGCATGGCCAGCAAAAACTGTGCTAACGTGCAGTAGAATTAGTCTACTGCTCATTAGCATCATGAAAAAGCGTGCACCGGTGCAACTGTGCAGGTGCGCCGATTACAGCTTATTAACTTTAATACCTGTAACTACAGGTACTAAACTTAATGCGCCGTAATTACAGTGCATTAATGAACATGTAGACGCGCCTACAGAGCAGCATCTTGAAGCAAGTTTATGCTGAAGAAAGGCTAGGTTGCTCCTAACAGTCTGATTGGCTTCACATGTTAAAAGTAATCGTATAAAAAGCAATTTGGCTTTTTGGTTTTTAAAAGAAGTTTCTGACTGAGTTGGTGATGTGGTCTATCAGCAGAAATGGCAAAAGTTTTCAAATGGAAGTTTGCTTTTTTGCTCTGGATTAGTATTTTTCACTAAAGTTCCCTGTGTAGTCAGCAGGTTTGTACTATGTAGTCAGTGAAATCATATATTGACATCATATATTGTAAGAGCAGCACAGAATCTGAGCTAAATGGTATAAAAGAGGCCTTTTGTTTTGGGGTATTGGGAGGAACAGTGATTATAGAAGCTCTAGATATTTTGGGGTGGGGGGTGAGTTGTTTGGTTGGTTGGGTGTTTTCTATATGAATGTCTGATTTTTAGATGCAAGGCTTTTTAGTGATATTGTTTATTGGACCAACTGTATAGCTGGGAGAGATGTTGAACAAGCGTTCAGGCATCCAATGTCCTTCCTCAGGTCTAAATATAATCTAAAAACCAAGTTTTTGTGTTCTTTTTAAAAGTTGCTTCTCAGACTTTCTCCTTAGGCCTCAGGGTCATTCCACAGGCTTTAAAAAGCATTCTGATGTATTGTCTCATTCTTTCTGAACATACTAGATATGTCATTTTGTCATGCTTTTCTCAGATTTTCAGTTTTCTGGCACGTTATTTATCAGTACTATCAGTAAAACTTTTTTTTCTGTTGTATTTATCACTGAAGTGCTCTAAAAAATCATGGTGCTGTATTTAATATAAACTTAGTTCCCCTTTTTCATCAAGAAAGCTATGCACAGCTATGTACACGTATATTCACAAAAGATGGAATCAAAGAAGTGCAGAAAGGGTCTACTCAGATGATTAGGGGTATAAAGAACCAATCTTACAAAGCAGACCTGAAGAGTTTGGCTTGTTTACCCAAGTTAAACTGTGACTGAGAAGGTGTCTAAATGCTCTTTCAAATATATCATCTGAGGAAACACAGAGGGGCACTGCTATTTAAAGGACAGTGTTGGCACAAAAACAAAAAGATGCAAACAAGCTATGAATAATGAGAAGAAGGTTTCTAATCATCAGAGCAATTTGCTGCTGAAACAATTTACCAGTAGTAGCAGTGGGGGCAAAAAAATTACTTTTAAGTTGAAACATGAGTGGAATATGGTGGGAATTATATAATATAGTTGTCTGTGATAGCAGAAGACTGGAGTTGATAACCCATCCTGTCCCTTTTAGTCCTGTGTTCCTAATTTCATAGCAGGCTTGAAAACATTGTGTAATTAAGGCATTATAAGCCCTTTGATATGTTGGGGTATACATCTAAATTATCAAATAATGTTTATATTACAGTAGCATCCTGAGGCAGGATCAGCATCATGTTATGCTAAGGACTGCATGATATATAAAAGAGAAAAATAGCTCTGTAATAGGATAAATAGCATATAATCTAGGGTCTGTGCAGGAAACCTTTATAATTTAGAAGATTTGTTTTTTCTTTTAAACATTTGTATTGCAGTTCAAATTCTTCCTCTACTACTTCACTAACTGGGAATTCACCCAAGACTGGATCCTCAGACTGGGCTGTTCCTCAGGCCTCCAGATTAAAATACAGACAAAAATTTAACAGTCTTGATAAGGGCATGAGTGGATATCTATCAGGTCAGTATAACATTTGAGCTAGGAAAAAGAGCTTCCTAATTGTTAGAAATATAGGCCAATGGAAGTTTTTACAATGTAGCTGTGTGTTCTGGGGCTCACAGTGTTAAATATAACATTGACCAACAGGTCACATACATTAAATAATGGGGAATGGCTAAATTGCTCTTCATTCTCTCTTCTCAATCTAGCCTGATACTAATTGGGTGAATAAACACTATATAATCTCATACACAAGTGAATAAAATAAAGGCCATCTGCAGTATCCTTTTTTCACTGTGCACTGATGTATACAGGCACTCTGTATTACTGTACTATGTACAAGCTATAGAAATTGCTCTGTTATATACCTTTTAGGGGTGTTTTTCCACTTAGACAAAACAAGCAGTGCAAGAAACATACTATTTCCCCACAGGAATTAAGGGAGGAATTTTTCAAAAGTCCCTGTATGCTTTGGGAGTACAAGCTCCAGTGATTTTTCAGTGAGATATTTTGTTTCTAAATAATTGATTTTGAAAAATGCCATACATAGTCACTAAGAAAGGATGGATTTCTATAAACGTCTTAGGCAGGAGACTAGGAAAGGTTTGTTGTCTGCTCCAGTCTACCGATTGACTTTCGTTATATAGAGCAAATCCATTTCCCTTCTCATTTGTAGACAGTTTCTTAGTCTATAAAATGGGAGCATTTTCACCACTTCTGTAAGGGATGTTGAGATTGAAGAATGAGATGCGCTCTCTCTCTTTTTTTTTTTTTTCCTCCTGATTTGGAGCCAGTTGATAATAGTAGAACTCAAGGCTGAAGGGCTTGGGAGCATGCCCAGCAAGCCATATATTTCTGGCTGCTGGGAAATGCCAGTGGCCCCATGCTTACAGCTCAGACTGTGGGCTGACAACCAGTTATATTCAACGTACAACTGTGAAGATTTCTATAAACATTTATATTCACCCCAGGTCTCCTGTCCTGGGATTAGCACAGTGAGAACAGGTAATCCCAAGAGCTCCAATGATATTTCTTTATGTATAAAGAGAGACTGGTATTTCCAGGTTTAAAAGAGGACAGAAGTTGAAACTGGTAATGTTAAGTTAACATCAGCACAAAAGGGTCAAGTAAAATTTAAGAATTAACCTGTACTTGCCCCGGGTTACAATGTACACAATTTTAGTATCCATCTTTTTGTCTAAATAAATGTTTTATTACAATTATTAAGAATGTTCATACCTTCACTTAGGTTTCCAAGCAAAAAATGCCCTTCTTCAGTCTAATCTTTCCCAGACTCAGCTGGCTACAATTTGGTAAGTTTAATTCACCAGCTAGTAAGAGATATAGTGTATGATGAATGTAATCTGTTCTTCAACAAGGAATGTTAATGAGATAAGTACAATTTAAACATTAATGAAAAATTAACAACCTGTTTCACAGTTTTGCTAATTTTCTGTTTATTAAAGCTACAGTGTTTGAAAAGTCCACTTTATTTTTCACTTCGTTGCTATTTTGCATTTCTCTCACATCAGACTGTAAATTTATTATATTCATTTCAAGTTCAGTGAAGTGAGTTGTAAAACCTGGAGGGTTTGTTTCTTTAACACAATGGGTTCTGTTAAAAGCAAGAAGCTTTAATAGAAATTCAAAATCAAAATTCTGCCAAAATTTATAAAGCTTGTTGATTTCAGTTGGGAGTTGGAGGGGAAAGACTTTATTTGTTTTAATCAGTGGTCCTTCAGTTTATTAGTATCTGTGTGCTAATAGCTGTACGCTGCACTTTGATTAACAGTCGTCCTTGCTATGGTGGTAGAAATAATTGCAGTCTTCTGAAGACTTGGATAATGAGTCTTGGAACTTCTGCGTTTTGCCTTTTCATAGAATCATAGAAGTCGGGTCAGAAGGAACCTTGTAGATCTTCAGGTCCGACCCCCTGCCTAGGCAGGAAAAAAAACTGGGCTCAAATGACCCCAGTCAGGTAGGCATCAAGCCGCTTCTTAAAGACCCCCAGGGTAGGAG